GTGGGACAAAATCCCTCCTGAGATGTGTACAAACTTGGTGGCCATCTACAAGAAATGTCTGACCTCTGTGATTGCCAACAAGGGTTTTGCCACCAAGTCATGTTTTGTGAAGGGGTCAAATACTTATTTCACTCATTAAAATGCAAATCAATTTATAACTTTTTTGAAATGCGTTTTTCTGGATTTTTTATTTTTATTCTGTTCTCACTGTTAAAATAAACCTACCATTACAATTATAGACTGATCATTTCTTTGTCAGTGGGCAAACATACAAAATCAGCAGGAGATCAAATAATTTTTTTTCCTCACTGTAATAGATTAGATTCAGTCTGGTGGAAATTAGTATGTGCTGTATAGGCACTGGTGCATTTCAGGACCAATCAAGAAAAGAGATACCTAGGAGATTGAAATAAGAACTATAACTGAAACATACTTAGGAGTCAAATCAGGTTCATTTTTTTATGAGAAATCTTCCTCCTTGACAAATGCTCAAAGGTACACAATGAAATGCATATATAAAAAATTTGTATTATTAATGCTCCAGTAATTGTGGCTAGACTACCCCAAGCATAATGGTTCATTTCAAGCAGAGATGTCAAACTGGCGGCCTGAGGGCCGGAGGCATCATGCACAGGCCACGCCCACCCTGGTTCCGCAAAGGCAAAAACGTCACAATACATCGCGGTACATCATGTGACGCGATCTAGTTTGACACCCATGATTTAGAGCAACTGGGGCTTTCAGAATAGTAAATGAATGGTATGTGGAGGGCTGATGGTGGTGACAGTTGATAATTATATGTAGTGTTGAAAAAATGGATTGAGAAGATTTTCTCTCTTGTAATAATAAAATGGAGAGTAATCAAATTTATTTATTAGATTTATAAAATGACCCAACTTCATGATGTCTCTGGATGGCTTAGAAGAATAAAAGCAACACAAAAAACATAAAAGCAGAAAGGAGATAAAAGACATCCAGAAAAGACAAATCACCCAACTCAGCAGAAAAAAAATCCTATGAGGACACCCACCCCTCCATCCATCATAATCCAATGCCTAGGAGAAAAATCATGTTTTAATGACCTTTTGAATGAAGACAGTGTAGGAATTATATGAATCCATGGGGGAATGCTGTACCAAACGACAAGAGCAGTGACAGAGAAGGCCCACTTCCTGGATCCCATCAGATGACAATGTTTGATTGATGGGACCTGGAACTTGACATGGGGTTGTGGGTTTTTTGGGAGAGGGATGTTGGTGCATGTGTGTACTGAGGTTAATGTGACATAAGGGTGGCTATAAAAGATTCTTAAATGAGACTGACCATCTGAGGACCTGGTAATTTATGCCTATCCTGTTCAATCAGACAGTTCATTTTGTTTGTTTATGAGTCTTTTATAGCCTTATGTCACACCAACATCAGTACACATACTCCATCTCCCCTCCCCACCAACTTCTTGGCATTCTCCAGTTCCCATCAATCAAACAGTGTTTTCTGATGGATCCAGGAAGTGGGCGTTCTCTGTCACTGCACCTTGTCCAACACTGGTTCAGGAATTCTGGGAGTTGAAGTCCACAAGTCATAAAAGAGCCAAGGTTGCCTATCCCTGCTCTAGATCAACTGAAGCTTCTAAATGGTCTTCAGGGCAGCCTCATGTAGAGTGTATTGTAGCAGTCCATACAAAAGGTGTCCAGGGCATGAGTATCTGGAGGATCTTGTGGTTCAGGATGGACATAACGGATGTACATGATAGACTTGGGCAAAGACTGTCCTACTCATATCTGCTACCTGCTTTTTGAGAGGAGTTGCAGATCCAGGAATTTTTTGGGTCTAACACACGGTCTGGACTTACGCTTTCAGAATAACGTAGATCCTAACTTTTTCCTCTTTGGGACCCAACCCATCAGAACACGTGGTCAACACGGGTAAGGACCTAACCACCCCAGACGAGTACCAATGAGTATTTACTCAGACAAGGAAGGATCAGTCCGAGAGGTCTATGACTCGATTTAAAATAAGCAGGTCAGTAAAATGAAACCTGACCTAACATTTGACTCCACATCAGATTGTGAAGTTTGCTGCCATAAGACATAGTAACAGCCCATCATTTTAATGGCATTAAAAGACAAATGCATGGAAAGCAAAGCCATCAATTACTGCTAGTTATAATGTTTCTATATGGCTTCCAATGTCAGCTACTAATAACTGTTCATTTTGGGTTTTGGATGGCCTGAGTGGAAGGGATGCTATCTTGTGCTTGTGAAATTCCCATAAATATTTGGCTGGCCAGGACTGGAGCATATTGTTTTTGCCTGACGCACTGCACTTCTTAGAAGTTTATATTATGTTCTTTCAACTTACTGTATTGAATATGCAATATGCAATGTATATTCGATACAGTGTTACAAATCCAAGACCATCTATTTAAGTTCAGTGTCAAATAGGAAATTTAAATCATATTATCCCATAACCAGGCCCAGTACTCTGTCAAGTAGACATTGATACAAACTAGAGTAATTTTAATGCATTCTTAATATTAGACACAAGCCTTATGCAACGCATCACAAAGGAGAAGAAATGCTGTGATGAATTATTGGAGTTTCACGGAGCGGCAAACACAGATACCATCCAATCAATTGCTCTGTGGCAAGAACAACGAATTCTGCCAAATATTATTTACTTATTAATAGCATTTATGTACAGCAGATCTCTGAAAATCTCTAGCTGCTCTATTATTTTCAACTATTATTCTGCTTGGGAACACATTTTGGCATGGCCCTTTGCCTTGCTCCAACCATCTTGAGCACTTCCCTCCTTCTCCATTCACTGAGACCGTTCCTGTTTCTGGTTCCCCCTCTCTCTAGGGTCCAGGGAACTCTGCTCTCCCTCTTAGGAGGGACCATCTCCAGTGTTTTCTATCATCCAGGATAGTGCTTAATCTTTTCAAGCCCCTCCAGAATGTTGGAATTTCAGGAGTTGCAAAATTATATTTTACATTAAAAAACAAACAAACAGAAATTTGAAGATTTCACCATTTTTCTAACAGCTACTTTTGCATTCTTGGATATTTTTGCGACAGAAAGATTAAATAATGCAAGAGATGTTGAAATTAACCTCACAGTGAAATGGGCTATACATTCCTGTTGATATTTTCTCAAAACCATGTTTCTGTGGCATCCTTTTGCAACTTTTCTGTTGCAAAAAGACTGTTAATGGGAAGAAAAGGGAAGTGCTATTGGAACAGTTGAAGGGCTGCGTTTTCATTCAGAGGCATAATCTGCTTTGAAAGCTCTTTCAGGATTTGGTATAGTAGTGGAGTAATTACGAGTGAGGCAGAAATTCTGTGCATGCTCAGAAATATAAGCTGTTTCATTGAGGGGAATTGCTTCTGGGTGGTTGTTTATTCTGAACATTTATATTCCTGGAAAGAGGAGGGGAGGCAAACTACAACTCCAAGCCTCTATTGCATGGGGGTGGGGTGGGGATGTAGAGATTTCAGGAGAAGACCCAATTAAGACAGCCATCTCCAGCATTTTATCAATCATTAACCTTAACCCTGCTGTAAAATTCTCATCCGGATAGGTGCTAGTCAGTGAATGGGATGAACAAACAATAGAGGGCATTTGGACAGCCTTAATCTACTTACCCCTTTTGAATACTGTAATATTTGTTTTGGCTGGCCCATGATGCAGTTACACAACAGAAAGATGTTACTCCCCTGCTATGTCTTAATTTCATTCTGACGTCTGAAAATACCTCACGATGATTTCCTCCAGAACTCACGCACAAGTTGCTGAATCGTAAGTCCCAGAAGTCCACACCAATACGCTCAACGGGTGAGAGGTGATATGGTTTCAGTAGCACCCATACCAGGGGTAGGCAACCTTGGCTCTTTTTATGACTCGTGGACTTCAACTCCCAGAATTCCTGAGCCAGCCAAGCTGGCTCAGGAATTCTGGGAGTTGAAGTCCATGAGTCATAAAAAGAGCCAAGGTTGCCTACCCCTGACCTATACAATTGTTTCATGAATGAACCGATCCTATTTCCCATTGTCCTTGAGAGGTAGCTCTTAATACTTCCTCCCCCCCCCCCTTCACTGACATGCCTGGAAATAGTGAGCTTTATGGTGAGGATTGTGCTTTTTTATTGTGATTCTCTACAGCTACTAATGTTTGCTTTGTAGGAAGGTCTTCTTACTTACCGGATGATCTACTTGTTCCAGTAGGCATTGTTTAATGTGCAAATATGGCTGAGATGTGTGGCTGGAAGCTGCGAGCTGTTTTGAAATACTTATTTTGAAAATCTGTTGGGAAAAAAATGCATAAGGTAGCCCTCAACCACAACTGAGCCCCAATTTTTTGTTGCTAAACGAGACACTTGTTACGTGAGTTTTGCCCCATCTTATGACTTTTTCTGCCAACAGTGGTTAAGTGAATCCCTGCAGTTCTTCATTTAGTAACGTGGTTGTTAAGTGAATCTGGCTTCCCCATTGTCTTGTCAGAAGGCTGCAAAAAATTGACACTGCAACTGTCATAAACATGAGTCAGTTGCCCAAGTGCCCGAATTTTGATCACGTGACCACGAGGATGCTGCAACGGTCGTGCCACTTTTTCTACAAGTACCATTATAACTTTGAACAGCCCCTAAATGAGCTATAAGTTGTAAGTTGAGGACCACCTGTAATTGCTTTCCTAGTTTTGCCTAGGCCAGGGGTAGGCAACCTTGGCTCTTTTATGACTCGTGGACTTCAACTCCCATAATTCCTGAGCCAGCCATACTGAGGGGAAAGGGAGAGGTTTCCAAGCTGAGCCATGCTGGCTCAGGAATTCTGGGAGTTGAAGTTGAGTCATAAAAGAGCTAAGGTTGTCTACCCCTGGCCTAGTAAAATAGGAGAGGGATAGGGATGCAGACGAAGAAGGCCTTGCATGTTCTCCCCTCAGGTGTTTAGGGAGATAATGTGGATTTCCTTTGTCTTACTGCTAAATTGTTCTTCTCCGCAGGTTCTGCCTGTCTCTTGCGTTAACCGCTCTTCAAACGGTGGCTGCCGATGAAGGGGCACCCCTTGTTCACCAGGATTCCTGGGGAGATTTTTGGCTGTTACGGTTTTTGGTCAATGCTGCAGGCTATGCAAGCATCCTCGTGCCAGGTTTTTTGCTCATACAGTATTTTAAGAGGAAGAATTACCTTGAAACAGGTAAGTACCTATATAGGATGCATCTCCTTCTATCGTTTTTGGTCAGCTAAGTATATAAAGCTGTTCGGGTACTGAACTGGTGGTTGGAATTGTTAGTGGGAACGATAAAGGTGAATAAACCGAAACTGACTTGCAGGAAGACAGAAGCTCTTTGAATGGGTGATTTCCATGCCCAGGAGGCATAAGTGTACTCAATCCTCTCAGACAGCAAGTGTACCGCTTGACAGTTTCCTTTGAGTCTGCATTGTCCTTGGTAGATGTTATAAAAGTACCTTTACTGCCTCCAGCTGGTTCACATATTATACTCTTTCTGGATAAGAGTTGATGTGGTGGCAGTATTCTATGCATGGGTAGCTCCTCCCCATTGGATTGGTAATGCAAAATGTGAATGCTAGCTTGCCAAAATGGGCAAAATTCAGCCAGATGGAAATCTCATTATAAAAATAGTAAAGGAGTGGCCCTGGTTGCCTGTTTTTTATTTTTTAGTTCTATTAAGATGCTCCCTGCACATTTAAATTAACAGGAAAGTGTCCTCTTTTATAGTGCCCTGTGCAAGGAATTCCCATCCAAATGTGTACTATTTCTAGAGCAGACATGTCAAACACAAGGCCCGGGGGGCCGGATGTGGCCTGCGAAGTGGTTTCATGTGGCCCGTGAAGCCATCCTGGAAACAGTGAGGGAACGGCCCCCGCTGCCTTGGGCCTGGCCCAGGCCAGCCGGGAGCCAATGTACAATTTTGTGGTGGCCATCTATGCTGAAACGCATTCAGCTCCACAAGGCCGTCTAGAAACAGCGAGGAACCAGCCCCTGCCGCGTCGGCCCCGCCCCCTGGGTGCATGCTGGTGAAGTGTCACCCTTTGTGAGGAATGAAGAAATGGACCATGCCTTGGCGCTTGCCCCGGTCCCACCCCCTTCGCCAGAGACCCTCAGATCTCTGCCTAGGCCCCCACAGGCACCCTTGACGCGAACGATGTAGAGCTGGCCATGCCCACCCAGTAGGCCACGCCCACCCAGTAGGCCGCACCCACCTGCCCCCCGAGGGCAACCGCAATGCTGATGCGGCCCTCAATGAAATTGAGTTTGACACCCCTGTTCTAGAGCGCAATGACAATTTTATTGTCCAGTAATTTCAGCTGTTATCTTTTTATTTTTTCAATTGTTTTATTATTATGCCCTGTGAGTAACATTCACTTTCTGCAACGTTGTGGAGAAGAGACATGGAATGTGAATTTGGCTTTCTATATCACCGGAAATAAAGAAAATGTATCTTGGCAGGAACAACTAACATGAGAACATGAAAATAAAACTGGATTAACATGGATAGTGCTGGTAGGAATAAGTTTGTAATTAGCATTAATGAAAGGGGCGACAGCTTAGCGGTTAAAAATGCTGAGCTTGTCAGCTGGAAAGCTGTCGGCCTGGGTTCGAAACCTGAGCGCTGTGCAATGAGGTGAGCTCTTGTTACTTGCCCCAGCTTTTGCCCACCTAGCAGTTTGAAAGCATGCAAGTGCAACTAGATAAATAGGTACCAGTAAAGTGGTAAAGTAACAGGGTTCCGTGTGCCTCGGCAGATAGTCATGGTGGCCACATGATCATGGAAAGAGGAAATCTTTAGCCATCGAGTAATTGATTGCTGTAGATAATTTTCTTTTTTCTTTTTCTTTCTTAGGCCGTGGAATTTGTTTCCCAGTAATCAAATCCTGTGTTTTTGGCAACAATGAGGCCAAATCAGTGCATCAGGATGATGCCCTTTCAGCAGCTCGAAATGAGACTGTAGAGTCATCTACAGCCCGTCAGGTTTTTAAGCTGCTATTCTGTGCAACTGGCTTACAGGTAAAGAACAGATAGGCTTTAGATCACACGGTTTTGGGTGACCCAGTTTTGAGAACTGACAGGAAATTGCAGATAGTTCTTTACTTACAACCCTAGAGAGTCTGCAGAAGATTCTCTGCAGACAGAGTGAGCCAAGAAGGCAAGGAGGGCACAGTGTGAGTGGGCAAGGGGAAGGAAGACATGGTGTGTATGGGAGTGAAGAAGGGTGCAGTGCAGGTGAGCGACGGAGGTGGAGTGTGTGAATGACAGAGAGCAGTGTACTTGCAAAAAGGCTGCAGTTTGTGCAAAATGAAAAGAAGAGAAGATGCTGAGGCTTCCAGGGGAGGCTGCGGTTTGCACCACATCCTCAACTCACGTACGGCCTGGGTCAGGCCATCCCCACCTCAGGGCATCCTGTGCTTCTTTCCTGGGACTCTTGCTTACTGACCCATGATTCTCTCTGATCAATGGTAGGCAGAAGTGGTCACATGATATCTTGTTTGATGACTAATTTGCTTAGCAACCAAGTTTCTAGTCCCAGTTGTGGCCCGAAATTAAGATTTACCTTTATGAGAAAGCCAAGTACCAGTTTTGTAATGACAGACGTTGGGAACAATATATGTTGCATGAAATGAACGTATAAATATATAAAATGAACTTTACCACCTGCAAATTGTAGCAACACTGATTTCTTCAGTTGGTAAAGGAACTTGACAGCGTAGTTAGCTCATAGTTGAATATATAGATGACGTAGGGTCCAAATACCAGTTAATTTTCATCTGTAATGGAGATAACTGAGATAACTTAATGTAATGGAGATAATTTAATGTAATAAGAGAATCCCAGCTTTTGTTCTTTGTAAACGTAATCGTTTAGCATTATTTGGGAACCAGGGCATTATGGTTTATTGTACAAACCAGTTAAAATAATCAAATGATATCATGATGTGTGCTAACCAAATTTTTCTTGAGTCAGTGGTATATGCTGAATGCTACGAAAACTTGTAGAAATTTGCAGTATCTAGAACTTAGAATCTTTAAGATTCCGTGAATTCACCTTTTACACAAATGCATAGACTGTAACATTTTGCCCAATCATTTTTAATTTAAACCTAAAGGTTTGGCTCACATAGATAAGCTATTGATATTTTAAAATAAGGTTCCCCAATTTCCTATTAGCAGGAGGTTATTTGGTTTTTTAAAAAAAATTATTGTAGTTTCTTATGACCTCTTTTCGTCGTTTTACACATGTGCAAAATGACAAGCAAGCTATTGGGTGTTGATAACTTTTTAAAAATGTGAGTTGCCTAATTGCCAATTCTTTTCTTTCCCCTCCAGTCAGGACACACTGATAGTATCATAGTTGCCATGCTCTTGTCAGAGGAGAAGTATTTTTTTCATGAACATTTTAGATAAAATTAACAAAGCATATGGTAATTTGCCTATGAGGCCTATATGGTCAAATCTAGCTTTTAGCTTTCAGTTAGTATTGATAAAGTGTTTACAAGCATTTTTCTATCATCAGCCCATTTGTCTATCACTCTGGACAGATAAAGAGTTAGAAGATTCCACTCAGAATGTCAGATGGTTACCATGTGTCACTTCCTCTCCGATAGTCGCTCTCCTAATCACCTTTCTTCCCTCTCACTTTGTAGATCTCCTATTTGACATGGGGTGTCCTCCAGGAGCGTGTCATGACCAGGTCATATGGAGCAAGTGACTCAGAACCTGGAGAGAAGTTCAAAGATTCTCAGTTCCTCGTCTTCATGAACCGGATCCTGGCCTGTACTGTGGCTGGCCTCTGTTGTGCTCTGATCAAGCAGCCCCGTCATGGCGCTCCCATGTACAAGTATTCTTTTGCTTCCCTCTCCAACATTCTCAGCAGCTGGTGTCAATACGAAGCTCTCAAGTATATTAGTTTCCCCACACAAGTGCTAGCCAAAGCCTCCAAGGTGATTCCGGTCATGCTGATGGGCAAGTTGGTGTCACGCAAAAGCTACGAGTACTGGGAATATTTAACGGCAGCACTCATTTCAGTAGGGGTTAGCATGTTTTTGCTCTCTAGTGCTCACGACAAGCACGCCTCCACCGTCACTACCTTCTCTGGCGTGATCCTCCTCAGTGGCTACATTGCTTTTGACAGCTTCACTTCCAACTGGCAGGATGCCCTCTTCACCCATAAGATGTCCTCAGTGCAAATGATGTTTGGGGTGAATGTCTTTTCTTGCCTGTTCACCGTGGGTTCGCTGCTGGAGCAAGGTGCCTTGCTAGAATCAATAAACTTTATGGCACGGCATTCAGAGTTTGCTGCCCATGCTGTGCTTTTGTCAGTGTGTTCCGCTTTTGGACAGCTGTTCATTTTCTACACCATCAACCAATTTGGAGCTGCTGTCTTCACCATTATCATGACTCTACGCCAAGCCTTTGCCATCCTGCTTTCTTGTCTCATCTATGGCCATGCAGTCACTGTGATGGGTGGGCTGGGAGTAGCTGTGGTTTTCATAGCCCTTTTCCTCCGTGTCTATGCCCGCAGCCGCATGAAGAAGCGAGCAAAAAAAGTACCTGCTGGCGAGGGCACAGTACAGAAGGTTTAGGAGCGGCAGGAAAAGCTGGGACCTCCCCACCAGATCCCAAGCATTTGCTTAATCCTGGTCATGAACTTTAAGTAAAGAGCTGGAAAAGAGGTGAAGCTTGATTAATTTTTCCCAGATGTTTTTTTTCTTTTTGAAAAGAATACTGGGTTGACTTGAAGGAAATGAAGGAGTGCTTCTTCTGACTGTTAGCGTCTGAACAGTCTTCTCAAAACAAGTGGTACCACGATCCTTTCCTCAGTGAACAGATGGAGGTGAGCCTAATAGGCTAACCCTGACTTGGGGTTTTATAAGAGATGGCTTATTTATGATCAGGGCAAAGTGAAGCTGATTTTGTACAGTTCCCATCCTGCTGTCTGAAAGGGAATATCAAGAATAAAACTTTGAAAAGTTCTAATCAGAACAAAATATCCAGACTTCACTATTGGAAGACCAACCCTAGCCCAGCTCCCACAGGAAATGTGGGACTTTTCTTACTGGGGATAACCTTTTTTCTATAATTGAGGGGGGAGGGGGGGCTGCACTTAAAAAAAAAAAAAGATTTCAGCCTGTAAGAGCCATAGGGACATGGCAATATTTTGGTACAGTCATGCCAGATGTTCACCTCCCCCTTTTATTTTTCAGCAAGATTTGAGGTAATGCTGAAGTGCAAAATCAGCATTTAAAAATTTCAGATGCCTAACATACCTGCTTTCCATCTTTTTTTGTGTAATTAGATCAAATTAATTGGGATTGCATAATGGCAGCTGGAGCCATTTGCAGCTCACTTACTCCTATCCTACAGATTTTGATTTGTTGAAATAGTGAGCTCTTTCAAATCATTGCCTCTGCGTTTTCTAGTTTGGTGTGCTCATAATTTTGCTGAATAGTTTAGATAGTGCACCATTTTTGCTTTTGTTGGTTCTTGCGTTTTGCTAGCTGACCGTCAGCCATTCATCCATTTTCTTGGAACATTTCCCTGGGATTTATAATTGTAGCAAGCAGTTCAGAAAAGCACATCCATTATCTTTTTTTAAAGGTTGAACTTTTTGGAAGAGGTTCAATTTTTTTTTCATTGTCCTTGACAAAGTGGTACAGCTGTACATCTTGACTTTGCAGAATTTGCTACAGCTTCGCAATTTACACGAGGAACCAGCAATACAAGACAAACAGGTCAGCCTTGTATTCTTCCAACAAGATGGCTTCCCTTGAAAACTTGAGTATTGCAGAGCTCTGGCATACACACCCTCATTTTACATAGTGCGCTCAGCATGTTGTAACTGTTGAGGGTGAGAACTTTGAATGTTGTTGCTCAAAGCAGTTCCCTGGTCTTTTTATCATTTTTGGAATTAAGAAACGGTAGCTCAGAGTTGTACAGGACAGGAGTGATGGATATGTCCAAACACAATTGCTCTGAAACCTCACTACAGCATTGGAGCTACTTTTCCAGTTCCACCCAGAATGTCTGGATTTTACCAATTTAACAATTTTAAACTGCCACGCTGAAATTGTGCAGGGCAAATATTTCTTGAAATACAACTATCTTATTTTATTAAATTTAAAATATGCAGCAAAGAAATGGCTCAGGCTATGTTTTGTAATCTGTAAATTATGTTGAGCATAGGGTAAAGCAAACTAGTCCCTTGCTTGGGAATTTTAACATTTCCTCACATCCTAAAATTGTGTGAACTAGTCCTTTAATCCAAGAACCAATAAGGACCGATAACTTCACACAACAGAGTTGTTATAAGCAGTAATTCCTAATTACAATGTGGATCTTTATGCACCCATTTGAGTGGAAGTTATTGTTGTATGATGGGTAACCCAGTACAGGAATTGAAAATGGTAGGGCTGCAGCCCGTTCCGTGTATTTTGTATGGAGAGTCTTAGACAATAGATCAGCCTAAAAGGTTTTGAGGTACTGATAAAACTTCTTGTGGAAGTGATACCTCTTCCCAAAGCCTAAAATAGGATGGTTATAACATTGGACCAGGGAACCAGCTAGCAATCCAAAAGTGGGAATCTATGAGTCAAAGAAGTAGATTGAATGCCCTCAAAGAAAGAAGGTAATGGTGCTCCAATTTTGGATATACACCATTTCGTTTTCAATCCAAACTCCATGTTTAGCAAGATGTGCGGATCTCTTAGTGCAGCGGTTCTCAACCTATGGGTCACAACCCCATTTGGGGTCGATCAACCATTTCACGGGGGTCGCCAAGCAAGGCTGTCCACCATTTTTTTTCCCCTTTTCTGGCGGGTGCCTTACCTCCCTTGGGCTGGGCCAGCTGGTGGTCGGCCTGCTCCGTCTCTGCCGCTTGCCAGCTACGCCTCGGCCGGCGCAGGGGGCGGAACCACGCATGCGCGGCGCTCCCAGGCAGGGAAAGTCCTCGACGTACGACCGGTTGGGTAGTCCTCGACTTACGACCGGCTTAGTCCTCGACTTATGACCGGTTGGGGGTCACGGCATTAAAAAGGTTGAGAACCACTGTCTTAGTGAATGGTAAATAGAAAGTAAGGTAGCCTTGTCTATGCAAAGCTGGAGCTTTTTCTTTGGGGCTAAAAGCCCTAATTTAGTTCGTTTCCATAATAATCAAAGTACATTGGAAATTAACAGCTGTAGTGCTTTGAGTCAGTTTTTGACTCCTGGTGACTGCCTGGACAAATCCCTGCAGCTTTTTTGGCAAGGTGTTTTGGAAATGCTTTTCCTTTGCCTCCTTCCTAGAGCTGCAAGAGGGTGACTATTTCCAAAATCACCCAGGTCTCCCAGTTTCTAGCCTAATGCCTCAACTACCTCAGCAAAGTGGCTCTGCGTAATCCAGAATTGACACGTGCTTTCTGATCAGAGGTATAGTCTACAGTATAACATCCAGACAACAGCTGCTGTGGTTCTGTGCAAATATATGGAAGGAAAAGTCAATTAAAACCCCCACATGGAATTGGTTAAGATCGGGATTTAAAGAAGAAACTGATTCTAGTGGCTGAAGAGCAAGCTTTGCCAATGAATCGCATGAAAGCAAACATTCAATTATATAGCAACAGTAGCAAATGTCTCCTTTGTACTGAAAAAGATGAAACAATTGACCATTTGATCAATGGCTGCAGCAAAACTTCACAAACTGACTAAAAGCAGTGTCATGACCAAGTTGCCAAAATCATTAGGACTATTGCCAGAGATTTGGATCTGAACGTAATAAAAACCACCGGGACCATCAAATTGAGAAAGTTTTAGAAAATGAGCAGGTTGAGATCTTATAAAACTTTAAGATCCCAACAGATAGGCATCTCGTTCATAACATGCCTAACATAAGTTACTGGAAAAGAAGGAAGTCTTATTCATTGATGCTGTTTGTAGCCCATGATGCAAAGATTGAGGAAAAACAATTAGAAAACATTATACGAACTACAGGGGCTTGTAGGTCAAAGTTTAGTGCTTGTGGAAAAAGAAATCTCTTGTTATATCAATTGTGATTGGAGCCCTTGGAGTAACACCTAAAGAACTCTCTCAATATCTGAAAGTATTGAATTTATTGGACCTGAATACCCTAATTTTACAAAAAAATAACCCCACCCCATTCTGCTTGGAACTATTTATATTTTTAGGCCCCCATCTTAATAATTCTTAAGTTTTCATCTGCCTTAGACTATTAATTTAATTGTAGATTATCCACACATAGTGAAAACTGAAGAATCAAGATGCCTTATGGAAATAAAATAACATCAAGAATGTGGGTAAAGATCACTACAAATACCTGGGCATTCTTTAAGCTGACAAACATTAAACATACTGAAGTCAAGAAAGTTAGAAGTGAATTCATCATGTGATCTTAAAGTCCAAACTCAATGGAGGAAATAACATCAAGGCAATTATCACCTGGACAATTCCAGTCATTAGGAAAAAAAACAAACAGCTGGAATAGTAGACTGGACACAAGCAGAACAAAAAGCCCCTGAATAGGAAGACAAGAAAAATAATGACAATAAATTATGCCCTTCATCCATGCAGTGATGTTTTATTCTACTTGCCAAAGGAAATAGTTGGACATGGAATGTTGCAAGTACACCAGATGATTGAAAAATAAAATAGTGCTTGGAAGAAAATTTGAAGTACAGTGAAGAAGATGCACTGAAGCTAGTATACCATGAAGGCTGACTGAATATCAAAGAAACGAAACTGACTTAGAAGAAAGACCAAATGAACAATAGGAGAGACATGGCAAGGTAAAGTATTATAGGGCCAATACATTAAAAAATAGCAGCCAAAGCAGATAACAAGACCTGATAATGGCTAAGAGCAGTAACATTGAAGGAGACGGGCTAATTCTGGCTTCATAAAACCAAGCCTTAAGAACAAATGCATGCAACAGCAGAATTAAGAAGACATTTATGCTACCTCCGCAAAGAAGCTGAACCACTTAGCTAGCTATAAACAATGGCATGCCAAAGCAGCAATACTGATGCATTGGAATGTCTGCAAGAAATAGCATTTTCCTGCTAGGAAGAACTGGTGGGACCACAAAATAGAAGTAATAGAAGTAATAGAAAATGAAGAAGCTACAGTGCTCTGGGGCTTTAGAATTCAAGCAGACAAGCATCTGCCACACAACACCCAAGACTTAACAACTTTTGATAAGGAAAGACACAAAAGTCTTGATAGTGGACATTGGAGTGGTAATTGTGGACACTGACCTGGAGACAGCAGAATACATGAGAAAGAACTGGAGAAAATCGTAACAAAGACCTGAAAATAGAAGCAGCATGACTGTGGCAAAAGAAAGCAAAGATTGTACCAATAGTAATAGATGTCTTGGGTGAAATCACAAAGCATCTGGAGCACCACTTGGAACGCCATCAGCTTTAACAAATCACCATCAATCAAATGCAAAAGGCATCTTTATTTGGAACAGTTTACATCCTGCAACAATACCTTTAACACCATCAAACATCTGCCACTCCTAGTTCCTTGATAACAAGGCCAAACCCAGCCTAAATATCTGGCTTTATTATGTGACCAACCGTAATAATGATGAAATCAACAACCTCATTTCATTGTAAACCATAATCTTCTTTATTTTAATTCCAGTAGAACAAAACCAAATACCAGTGAACAAATTGTAAGTCCCTGCTTTCTCGAGACAACAACGAGCAGCGAGAGATTGGGGGTGGGTGGGAGTCTCACTGCTATATTAGTGGGAAGGACATTCTCTGGGTGTTTACTTCAGCTACTGCGGGATGGATGTTTGGTGGTCAAGCTAAAACTAGAACAAAATCTTCATGGACAGGAGAGCAAAAACCTTCGAACAATTAGACTGACCCTTTCCCCCCTAAAGCAGCATGTTTGAACAAGCAGACAGACCAAATAAATGTGGGAGGCTGCCTGCCACATTAGTTACCACATTTATAAAAGACACAGAGACCATCTTGAGG